TGGATTCCATGAGAATTTGAAATTCTGTTGTGCATTTCCCTCCTTTTGGTCAAAATTCTTTTATAGAATCTTTGAACAAAACATTGAGTAGTGGTAGCTGGGCACCATTCAGTTCTTCTGGTCTCATGTCTAATTTTTGAGCACTCCTATAGTCCAGGTATGAAGCAAGGTGCTGGAGACTTGGGAAGGAAGAACGCCCACTCCCTACCCATACTGAGCTCACTGTCTTGTGGGGTAAGACAAGTAACAAGACAGCAACAGTGTGACAAGAACTACTCTTGGGAGCATAGAGGGATGATGCAAACTAAATCCAGGGCAGGGTGACATCCTGAAGAAACAGACATTTTACCTGACCCTGAAGGATTAGAATGAATTAGCCAGGTAAGGAGGAAGGGAGAGTCTAGTACATTCTGCCTGTGAGGAACTGAAAGATGACTGGGAGGCCATGGGTAGGGGCAGGCTGGTGGGAGAAGGAGCAGAGAGATGAACTGCACCTTTGGGGATAGGATAGAGTTGTCTGCAGGGGAACGGTAGGATCCTGTTCTTTTCCACTTAAATTTCAATTGCATCTTTATTTGTTCAAAGACCATTTCTACTTGCCAGGCTGTGAGCTCTGAAGACACGGACCTTGATTGTTCAGTGCCTGACTTGTAGCAAATGTTTACCAAATTTTTGTTGATTGGGTTGGTAAAGGAGTGAGTAGACTTGCATTTTGAGGAATCACTATTGCTGCAGTGAGGAAGGTAGATATGAGGGGGCAGGATGAGAGGTCGAGAGGTCGATTAGGGGACCTTGTGTAGCCATTGGTGAGGGGGGAGGCAGCTTGACCTGGGAATGACTGCTAGGGATGGAGAGACATGGATGGACTTGGGAGAGATTGTGAAGGTAGAATGCATAGACATGGGGATGGGCTGGATGTGGGGAGAGGGAGAGGTCTGGGGTGACTTGTGATTTTCTCAGTTGGCTGCCCAGGTAGATGGAGGATCAGTGATACAGGATGGAGGAAGAAGCACAGGTCTGTGGAGGGGAGAGAGTGTATCCTATGCTGGATGTTGGTGGCCCCTGGGACATTGAGACCGTGTTGACTAGGCTTAAAGCTCAAGGAGTCATCATCCCACAACTCATGGGTGAAACTGGGATCCTGGATGAGATCACTGAGGAAAGGTGGAGGGAGGAAGGAAGGGAGTCTGGCTAGAGCCTGAGGGGTGGACTGTAGAAGAGGAAGGCCAGGCAGGAGCGTGCAGGGTCTCAGGATGGGGGAGGAGTCAGGTAAGCGGAGAATGGATTGAGGTCTGGTGGATTAGGAACAACAGTTGGTGACCTTGGCTGGATAGTTTGAAGGACAGAC